AGCCTTTTCCATGTAATTCTACATCAATTTAAACAATCTTATCTATTTCTTCAAAAAAAAACTTGCTGTAATTTGACAGTGATTAAAGTAATTATATATATATATGAATATATATACATAAAACTTTGGAAAAATGAACATTTTAAACAATTTTCAGCTTTCTAATCCATAAACATGATATGTATCTGCATTTCTTAGGCATTATTCAATTTTTCTCAGCAATGTTTTATAGTCTTCAGTATAAAGATCATACATAAATTTGGCTAGATTTATGCATAAGCATGTGTTTTTTCATTGATGCCATTGTCGATTTGTTTCATTTTTGTTTATTGCTAACATATAAAAATACAATTAAATTTATATATTGATCGTACATTCTATTACCTTCTTAAATTTACTTATTACTTACAGTAGTTAGTAGATTCATTTGGGTCTAAAGAGAAATTTAAATTCCATTCCCACCGTTGTTTTTTATTTCACTTCTCCATGTCTTGCTCCCAGAGGCATCCCTAGTGCTAGATTTTTAAATCCCTTTTCAGAAATATCCCATCCGTATACAAACACCAATAGTATTACATTATACACTACATATAATTCTCTTATTTGAAAGTCTCTCATCTTACCTTTCTGGGAGAATCAAATTTATTACTAGTATCACATGTATTATGTGATAATATGTTTAAAATGAAAACAAGTTTCTACATACTATATTTGTTTTCTCCATACTTACTCCATACTTTCTCCAACACTTGAAAAGAGAAGTAATGAGATATTTGAATTCCATTTAACAATATAAACTAATGTAAAACATTATATATTGTGAGCATTTTATATTAACTCCGGAGGTAATATAATGTGGAAATATATATGTTCTGTTTTATATCAGTTTTTTGAGCCAGTGATTTTTAATTCTGGTTTCTCATTGGAATCATAGACTAGCTTTAATGAATACTGATGTCTGGATCATACCTCAGAGAGTCTGATTTTATTGATTTGATATGGGATATGGTTTGGGCAAAGAGATATTTTAAAGTTCCCCAAGTGATTTTAATGTGTAACCAATTTGAGAACTGATGTTTTAGGCCTTACTCATACAGTCCCCCCTCTAAAATGTGTCTGTGTGTGTGTGTGTGTGTGTGTGTGTGTGTGTGCGCGCGCGCGCGCGCGCGCACACCTCAAGGGAGGTTTGAAATGCAGAAAAATGCTGTGTAGTTTGTATTTGGAATTTTTACAAGTAATTTCATGGATCAAAAAACTTAAATAACCTGGAAACATAAAATTTGTATAACCTTACATAAGGCAATTAATGTTTCCTGCATTACTCTGTCTTCACGCCCCAAAAGGAAATTTTAGCAATGAACTCTAACTTGGTTTTGTCAAGACATAGGTGCAGATATTTTTAAACACAAGCTATGATACAAATGTTTAAATATAGAAAAAAATACAAAAGGGATTTAGGAAAAAATTGATTGTCAGTACCAAATACTAACCTTTGGCAGTCAAGGAGACTTGTTATGCTGAGAATTAGTGTTATAAAACTGGATTACGTGGACTATTTTTCTGGTCTAGTCTGATCTTTCTTATTTTCTTATATTCTAAAATTTTAAGACATTATTTAAAAATAGTACAAGCAGCCCGGGAGTGTTGACTCGCACCTGTAATCCCAACACATTGTGAAGCCGAGACAGACGGATCACCTGAGGTCAGAGGTTCACGACCAGCCTGGCCTACATGGCGAAACCCAGTCTCTACTAAAAATACAAAAATTAGTCGGACATGGTGGTGCGCACGTATCATCCTGGCTACTCGGAAGGCTGAGGCAGGAGAATCACTTGAATCAGGGAAGTGGAGGTTCAGGGAGCCAAGATCACGCCACTGCACTCCATCCTGTGGGACAGAGTGAGACTCCATCTCCAAAAAGAAAAAAAAAATAGTACAAGTAATACATGCAAGGAGTAAATAAGACTAATATTTACACATAGAGCAGTATTTTCAGAGTTTATTTTACCTGGAAAATAAAATAGACATCCAAATTGTTCAGTTCAAAACCTATTTTCAGTGGTCATTCAGTCTAACATATTTCCTGATTGTGTACAGAATGTTACATTAGAAAGTTTGTGAAATTTAGGCCAAATTTTTAACTTAAAGTTAAATATAACACAGACAAGGTGGCTATAATATAAAGTAGAAAACATTGCACCTGACAAAAGTTACATTCTGAATAATTATTAGCAGGCAGGAAGAAAAGGAAGAAGAGAAATTCAGACAAAACTTTTTCTTTTTTTTTAAGTAGAAAAATGCATTTGAAATCTATCATAAGAATTTTTCTAATAAAATGTTGTTGAAGCTGGAGCTGGATATAAATTCCTCCTTTGCCATTTAACATATTTGTGAGATTGGACAAATTATTTAAGTGTTTTGAGAGTTATTTTCCTCATATGTTTAAATACATATAATAATACTTCTTAAAAATATTATGAGGATTAGATGTGATCCTGTGTATGAAAATGCTTAGTCAAGAGTTAGGGTGGATCCTCAATAGATGTTCAGTATTTAATTTTCGTAAGTATAGCTAAGTCACTTTCGCTTTATTTTATTATTATTATTATTATTATTATACTTGAAGTTCTAAGGTACATGTGTACAATGTGCAAGTTTGTTACATATGTATACATGTGCCATGTTGGTGTGCTGCACCCATTAACTCGTCATTTGCATTAGGTATTTCTCCTAATGCTATCCTTCCCTCTTCCCCCTACCCCACAACAGGCCCCGGTGTGTGATGTTCCCCGCCCCGTGTCCATGTGTTCTCATTGTTCAGTTCCCACCTATGAGTGAGAATATGCGGTGTTTGGTTTTCTGTCCTTGTGATAGTTTGCTCAGAATGATGGTTTCCAGCTTTGTCCATGTCCCTACAAAGGATATGAAGTCGTCCTTTTTTGTGGCTACGTAGTATTCCATGTTGTATATGTGCCACATTTTCTTAATCCAGTCTACCATTGATGGACATATGGGTTGGTTCCAAGTCTTTGCTATTGTGAATAGTGCCGTAATAAACATTACGTGTGCATGTGTCTTTATAGCAGCATGATTTATAATCCTTTGGGTATATACCCAGTAATAGGATCGCTGGGTCAACTGGTATTTCTAGTTCTAGATCCTTGAGGAATCACCACACTGTCTTCCACAATGGTTGAACTAGTTTACAGTCCCAGCAACAATGAAAAAGTGTTCCTATTTCTCCACAACCTCTCCAGCACCTGTTGTTTCCTGACATTTTAATGATTGCCATTCTAACTGGTGTGAGATGGTATCTCATTGTGGTTTTGATTTGCATTTCTCTGATGGCCAGTGATGATGAGCATTTTTTCATGTGTCTATTGGCTGCATATATGTCTTCTTTTGAGAAGTGTGTTCATATCCTTTGCCCACTTTTTGATGGGGTTGATTTTCTTGTAAATTTGTTTAAGTCATTTATAGATGCTGGATATTAGCCTTTTGTCAGATGGGTAGGTTGCAAAAATTGTCTCCCATTCTGTAGGTTGCGTGTTCACTCTGATGGTAGTTATTTTATTTTATTTTATTTTTTTCTGTGCAGAACCTCTTTAGTTTAATTAGATCCCATCCAAGGAAAACTACAAACCACTGGTCAACAAAGTAAAAGAGGACACAAACAAATGGAAGAACATTCCATACTCATGGATGGGAAGAATCACTTTGTTTTTTTATGTTATTTGAGTCTGAATTCTATAAGTTGCATTTCAAAGTAAAGCGTAAGAACCACCACCAATAACTTACCCACTCCTTTAGCTGATTTGTTTTACTAGTCTGAGACTGGAAGCACTTCACTGTCCATCTCTAGTATGGATAATAAGGAGTTTATCTGAGTACATGAAAGGGAAATGTGTTCTAGATTGTGTTTTGAGGCTTATAATTTTATCATTTTAATGTTATTTAATTCATAATTTTGATACTCCAGAATCTTGCTATTCAGTGTGTTTCATAGACAAAAGGCAATATTATTGCCAGCCAGCTCACTAGAAACCCAGACCTACTGAATCTCAATTTCCATTATAGCAAAATTCCCAAATGACTTATATTTATGCACATTAAGGTTTAATGGAGCACTGTTTTAGCTATATATAGTTCAATATTATAGTTTAAATACATATGATTTAAACTTTAAATAAATTCTTCTTACATGCTTTCTGATTCTAGCTGATATACATGTAAGTTACATTTGTTGTAAAAAGCGCTAGATCAGGAGTAGAAGCACACTTCTTTTATATTGGCTGTGCCATTTAATGATAGTGAAAATGTATTAAGTTCCTAAATTTCCAAAAGTTTTTATTTCACCATCTGTAAAGTGAAAGGCTAGTTAATACTTTTCCTGGTACTCAGTGGAATTGTTTAAAGGTTCATGTGAGATGGCCCATCATTAATGTTCAAACTCTATACACATGTGAAGCATTATGAAAACCAATGAGTTTGTGAGTGGGCAGTGGCCAGGATTTAGAAAGAGCAGCTAATCACAGATCGATTATGAGTAAGAGCTCCTTAGGGAGAAACATAAGATGACAACCGTAGAATTTTAATAATAACCATATATTTTGTTGCTTTATAGCAGAAATACAGGGTGGAGAAGAGAGGATGTGTCCTAAATGAAAGGACAACTGTCCAAAGTGCTGGGATTACAGGCATGAGCCACCATGCCCAGCCAATTTTGATTTTTTAAAAACTGATTTATGTTGACTTTGCTTGGATGGTCCAACCGGTTTCTTCCTAATTAGCTCACAGTGAAAGCATGAACAATAACAACATAAAACAAGACCAAAAAATAGATTTTCCTCACCACTTGCCTTCAATTTTTCCTAAGGATGCTTCTTAGTAACTGAATTAAGGAAACATTATATGCCATGGACTTGTCATGGCAGTCAGGACATTGTGAGGGATGTCTTCATGGAAATCTACAATGCAAACTCTGTTTTTTTCCATTACAGATAAAAAGACTTGTGGACCTCATGAATTCCAGTGTAAAAACAACAACTGTATTCCAGATCACTGGCGGTGTGATAGCCAAAATGACTGCAGTGATAACTCAGATGAAGAAAACTGTAGTAAGTAACTCTTCCTGATAATGTTGTGAGCTTGACAGCCCATTCCATAAGCAGGATGGCAACTTTTAGTTCTGTTAAGGTATAAATTTGAACCTTTCTGTCTTATGGCTCACATTTTTATACATATATTCACATTTGGATGAGAATATTCAGACTACATTGACCTGAATCTCAAATGGTAGAATTATCGAAATACTTATCCTGAGAGTTATTTTGTTACAGTTCTCACAATTGGTAGGAAACTATCATGAGGTTTAATGCAAACCCTTAGTAGGCAATGAAGGAAACCATTGATGCAAGTTCACACAATGAGCTGAATGATGTGGAGTCACTGTAAAACATCTCATTCTTTAACAAATGGTAGTCATTTCATTTCAGTCTCAAATCCTTTTAAACTACAAATTCACCCATGAGCATATTTCAGTGAAATATCACTTATTCTCTCTAGAGTAGTCAACACCTTATATATTCAGGATGCATTTCTCTGAAAATAGAAAAACACTATTGTTACCATCTGTCTTCTCTATTTTTATATAATACATTTAAAAATAATAATTATCCCAAAATTTTACTTTCTGAAGAGTATGGCAGTTATATAAAATTGTGACAGTATCTCCAGATTGTAGCATTTATTTCAGAATATATATATATATATACTGAAATATATATACTGAGACCTTAAATACTGAGACCAAAAAATACATATGTATTTTTTGAGACAAGGTCTCACTCTGTTGCTCAGGCTGGAGAGCAGTGGCATGATCACGGCTTACTGTAGCCTTGATCTCCCAGGATCAGGTGTTCCTCCCACCTCAGCCTTCCAGCTGCGACTATGGAAGCATGCCACCACACCTGGCTAGTTTTCTTTTCTTTATAATTTGTAGAGATGGGATCTTGCCATGTTGTCCAGGCTGATCGCTAACTCTTGGGCCCAGGCGATAAACCCCGGCCTCCCAATGTGTGCGGATTAAAGGCGTGAGCTGGCCACACTCGGTCTGAGTATATTTCTTATTGGCACTTTTATACACTGTCATTTAAACAAAGAAAGCTACACAAGCATGTTTAAAATAACATAATAATCAAATTCCATTTATTAAATATTTATGTCTGGTACTTCCAAGAAGACTTAATGCAGATTAATAATGATAGTGTCTATTCTTGCAGACATCTCATTGAACTAAGAGCATTCATTTCCCCAGAGGCAGAAGACTAAATCTACATAGGAATACATTATATGAAAGCATATAATTAGTAGAGTGAAAGCCTGAATAAACCACTCAGATATTTGGCTTGCAAAGTACCAACTAATGTTTTGGATAACTTTCACAACTTAATCTGACCTGTCTTTGGGAAGGAAGTATATTAAGCATGAAATCTCTGGATTATTGTGATTATAGAATATCCTGCATATAGAAACTTTTATAACTCCCTCTTTACATACATATCTTCTAACAGGTCATAGTCTTTAGAAAGATAAAGAGCACTGCAGAGAGTCAACAGAGTTTTAGATTTCTCTAAACACCAGTTTTTAAAAACTATGTATGGAAGTTCTCTGATCCACTTAATGATTAAAGTAAAATTCTGATGGGGTGGAGCTGGTAGGGATAGAAGCATAAATACAAAAAATCCCCCCACAATTATGCATATACTTTCTGCTTATTTATGAACCAGAACTTAAGTGTACAAATGTCTACTTAGATTTTTTCTTGATATATTTGGTGTTAATCATCAATAAGGTAACTGAGAGCAAATGCCTTATAACGGAAGGATGTTGAAAGCAGAAGAGGGTGGATGAGAGGCCAACTCTGAAGACATGTCTTGGAGAACTTTTATTAAGGGGGTGGTTGAATCTATGTGAGAAGTTGGCCTACTTTTATAATAAGAAAAACAGGAGAAGAAGGAAGGGCTCACCTGCTTCTGAGTCTGCTGGGTTTTGCTACGTGGCTGAATATCATTGTACTGACATGTAAAAGTCAGCCTTTGGCACAAGAAAGCAAGGAGAAAGAACATTGACTCTTACTCTTGCTTGTCACTGTGGAAACTCAGTGATAAATCTCTGTAGCCACAGTGTCCTTAAGAAAAAGTGAGGGAAGTGGTTGCAGTATCAAGCATTTCAGTATAAAATATCCAATTATGTGTGGTTCTCTTTTAGTGTCTGTTCACTCTGAGCTTGTTGACTAAGGCAAGTCATATTGATGAAGTTGCAGAGGAGAGATGACAGTGAACAAGAATGAAGCATTTTACGGTTGTAATATGGAAGAGTAGTAGGCATATATGGGACAAGTATAAGAGTATGTTCACATTTTACACATGTAAGAGGAATGTCAGAGTATGTTAGGGCAAATATGAAAGTATAGTCACATGTTTTGAACATGTAAGAGTATGTAAGAGGTTGGATCCAGGGGTCTAGATAATTGAATAGGGCTTCAAGATGCTATTTTGAATAGGCCAGAAGAAATGGGAAGCTTTCGACATTGACAATAGTTCTACATAGGCAGAAATTTAGTCAATAAAGAACGAGAAAATAATTCAGTTATTTATTTGGGGAGCACCAAAATGTTAGTCACATTGAAACAAGCCTTAGAAGAAAATACTATTGCTGTACTAAAATCTATCAAGATATTTACAATTGTTATCTATTAAAATAATTGTAAACACAGACACACACACACACACACACACACGTGCACATCGCTGTCCTAAAATATTAGGTCTGTGGTATATGTTGTCCTATTTTCTAAATAGTATCGATCAATGTTATGCACTTTGATTCATGTTTGGCAGTTATTGTTAGCTATTATTAAGTAGTGAAACATATCACAGACATATAAATCAACCTAGATCATCATGTGTTGCTTAACAGTGGGGATGCATTTTGAGAAATTTCTCGCTAGACAATTTTGTCATTGTGTGAACAGCATCAAGTGTACTTACACAAACATAGATAGTACAGACTACTACACACCTAAACTATATGGTTCAGCCAATTGCTCGTAGGCTACAAACCTATACAGCATGTTACTGTACTGAATACTATAGGGAACTGTAACACCATGGTATGTATTTGCCTATCTAAACATTAAAAAATTATAATTTATGACACCACCACTGTATGTTGTTGGAAACGTTATTATGTAACACATAACTGTAGCTGAAAAATAACAGCAACATAATTTAGAGTCACTTTTGGTTTTCTTTGTTTATGAATCTGATTTCATGCATTTACTTTTTAAATTGTGTTGGAGATAGTCCACAGATAGAGATGGGAAGAGTTCAAATAGTAGTGGGGCAATTAACTGCCAACTACATTTTAAACTTAATATGCTCTCTATGTTTTTATATTTACATAGGATAATTAGTTCATTGTCATTTTATCATCCTCTGCTTATCATTTCCCTCGTTAAGTGTTCATCAGGGACACTGCTTGAACAATTTTTTCTGCTCTTCAAAACAAGAAAATCTCATTGTCATTGGAGTTATTTTGTAATCTGGATCAGAGGTTTGGAAATAATTGAGAAATCTCAACATCTATACTATCTTTAGCAACACAAAAATAAAATACGTCATATATGCCATCTACGTTACTGATTTACAAAATAAATAACTTTATATCCTTACATTATTAAGAAGTAACTAAAAATCCAATCGATTTTAAAATAACAAGTAATTTAAAATTTAGGTTTACATAGACAAGCTGCTTCTACCTTATTTGAATTTCTAGTGCTTTCACACTGAATTTCTATCAGAAGATTATTTGTATAGAGTGTAAGTTATACTGATTGTATTCTAAAAATTCTTGTCAAATGCTAACATTGACATTCATATAACTTTTGAACTTATCACCAAGAGTTTTTAAGGTAGTAGAGAAACTGAAGTCCACGTCTTTCTGCTCTGCCATTTACTCTATGGTGTTGAAAGCCACTTTTATTTCCAGAACATGATTTTCTTCAGTTTTGTGTAAAATGAATTCCAAAGCTCTTTTCAATTCTGTGGCTGTATGTTTTTGCCTCCATCAGTAATCAGTATTGAAGTAAATAATCAGTCTATATGATGTCCCTGTATTTTGTTTTTTGTTTTTTTTTTTTTTTGAGAGGGAGTCTCACTTTGTTGTCCAGGGTGGAGTGTAGTGGTGCTGGTGCAATCTTGACTCACTGCAACCTCCATCTCCTGGGTTCAAGTGATTCTCCTGCCTCAGCTCCCCAAGTAGCTGGAATTACAGGTGTGCATGGTGGTGCCCAGATAATTTTTGTATTTTTAGTGGAGAAGGGGTTTCACCATGTTGGCCAGACTGGTCCCAAACTCCTGACCTCAGGTTATCTGCCCACCTCAACCTCCCAAAATGTTGGGATTACAGGCTTGAGCCACCGCACTTGGCCCTTTATATTTTATTCTTATTGAAGAATCCCAATTAGCCTTTTAAAACACGGAAAGCATACCCTGCAAAAGCTTCTTGGTTGCCAATCTGGCTTGTCTAGATGAGGTTTATAGAAAACCTGGCTAATTGTGCACATGTGGAGTTCCGCATCTACCCTTGGTCCAGGAATATAGGTAATATCAGAGAAAAATTAGCATGAAAATAGCATTTTAGAAATACAGAGGAAAATGTCACACCCAATTTTATTTTTCAGATGGGTTAGATTTTACTACAGTCATTTTGTTGTTGTTCTTCTCTTTCACAAGAAAAATAGTTTCATGATAAAGTCTGAAAATTGGTCTTTTACTTTATCCAAAAAAGATCAAAGGTAAGATAAGCAATAAGGAAAAATTCCTTAGGACTTTCCGTGATAACTAAATTACATTTCCCTCAAGAGATTTTCTTTTTGAGCTATCTAGTGGCAAAAGATTCTGAGGTATATGAATGATGGTTAGAAATAGACTCGGTACCCTATTCCTTGATGGTATTTGTGTATGTATAAAAAATTCATCATTATTATTCAGAAGTAGATTTGCTGGCATTTTAAAAAAACATAATAGAAACATGCAGAATTTCCACTTTCCCTGGAAAAGCTTTTCCCAGCAAATCTCTCAGCCTCTCTACTGCCATTTTGAAGCAGAATAATTAATAATGTTAGGACAAAGTCTCTAGAAAATGAGCATTCTGTGGAACTCTTGGGTAAATGCTTTCAACTACTGGCTTGATAACTTTTTTTAAACTACATCAACAACTTTCAACCCTTTGTATAGCAAAGTGTGTCAAGGGCTGTGAAGCCTTTGCTGTTTAGCATATGATGAGCACACTTACTTTTAAATAGGATAAAGACAAATTAGAACATTAGAGGAAGAATTAGTCCCATTCTACAACTCCCAATTCTATGAAATTAGATGTTTCTTCTACTGTTTTTAAACATGTAAGTACGATATATTTTAAATTTACACTTTCTTTATTCTTTTCATTAAAACAATTTTGGCTGTTATTTTCCGTTGTTAAATAAATTGAACATATTTCACTATAATTTATTTCCTCTGAGAATAAAACTGCATGTGTCTGCAACCAGGAGGGCAAAATGGCTTCAGTATGGAATGATGATAAGAGCAAATGAGGTTTCTCTTGTTATTATTAATAAAATAGATATTGCTAACCATGTACCTTAGATAAGTCACTTGACTTCCCAGGCCTTTAATGTTAATCTCTGTAATATGTGGACACTTATTTTTTCCTCAGTTGTATGGGAAGCAATGATATAGCCTACTAGGAAAAAGTACAGGCCCTGGTATCAGGTTGTCTTGATTCAAGTACAATTAATAGCTCTTCTGCAAGCTCAGTGATTTGAAGTACGTTACTTATTATCTCTGTGCCTCAATTTATGCATCTAAAACGGGGTGCAAGTATAGCACATTCCTTAGAGAGTTGTTATAAAAATTCATTGGTGAGTTAATTCATGTACGTTTCATTAACTTTACCTAGTACCTAACAAGAAATAAGTAATTGGTAGAGGATAATTATTATTATTGTTATAATAAATAATATTAGTATTAATGGTTATTTTTAAGATGAAAGCATAATCTATGTGAATACTTTTTAAAAACAAAAAGGGAAATTTCTTTTGTCACATCTACTAAACAAAGGAGTGTAGGGACATGAGAAGATTATCCATTTAAGGGCATTTTCCCATTCTATCAAATGGCACCTTGCCTTATACCTTGAAGGTCTTGTTTTAAACTAAACTAAGTAGCAGAGTAGAATGAAACGCTTGCTGTCACACACTGCTTTTTCTATAGTTCTTCCAGCCCAACGTTCTGAAAAGGTTTCTTTTTTTTTTTTTTGAGGCAGAATCTTGCTTTGTTGTCCAGGCTAGAGTGCAGTGGCACGATCTTAGCTCACTACAGCCTGTGTCTCCCAGATTCAAGCAATTATCCCACCTCAGCCTCCCAAGCAGCTGGGATTACAGGTGCCTACCACCAAGTCAAGCTAATTTTTGTATCTATAGTAGAGTCGGGTTTTGCCATATTGGCCAGGCTGGTCTTGAACTCCTGACCTCAACTGATCTGCCCGCCTCGGCCTCCTAAGAGCTGGGATTACAGGCGTGAGCCGCTGTGCCTGCCCCTGAAAGGGTTTCTTTATATAGAAATGTAGGAGCCCCCATGATACCAAACCATCAAGATGTTACTCTCTATGTAGAAACCAAGGGATTGTGTAGAGCAAAATCCAAATACAGACTGATTCACTCACAATCTTTGTGCAGAAAATCAGGCATCATATGGATATTCCTTAAACTTAATGTCTGTTAGTTATTGCTTCTTGACCCAGTAAGAATATTATTTTGTGTGATAGAGCTGCAAAGACAAGGAATTAATAGAGAAAACAAGAAGTCTTTCATCATGTAAGATATCAGTCCTGTTTAGAGAACAAAAATGAAACAAGAGATGATATCCAGCAGTCATATTGGTTACTTGCACGAATGAATTTCTAAAATCCTACTTCATTTTCCAGATGAAACATATTCCAATAGGAATTAAGCCAAGTAGTAAGTCATTACTATTTGGCTTATGCCTTATGTGGAATATGGGACAGCATAATTAAATCCATAACTGCTAAATTATCTAAATTGACAGGCAAGTGATATAGGGCACAATAAACAATGGCATAAACAAGTGCAGTTTTTAAAGAAGAATCTTACAAACTAGCTTTGTGTAATATTATCCCTATATACTCTTCTTGTTCCGGGAACTCCAGATTTTCTGGGGACAAAATTGAATAGTTAGAATGTTTTTAGAATACGTAATAAAAAGTCAAATACAAAGGCTAGACTAACTGCCCAGTTAATAATAAGCAGCCCCATAGGTACAGAGAGTCACAAAATGTCATACTTACTTAAAGTAAATACGTAAAATGACATAGAACTCCAACAACTAAAAAGGATCATTGTTATAGTATGACAATAGGTACATTTTCAGGCTTTTAATTTTACTTTGCTGATTTATTTTTATTAAACAGTAGAACATTTATCTTTGTTCCAACTTGTTTTGGTCATGCCATTTTGTACTCATGATTTTAAAAATAAATTTGAAAAATTATTATATTATGTACCATAGATACTTCATGAGACTTTTCCTAAACAATATATTGGTTCTGTTTGACTAACCTCTTTTTTATTTCTTTAATGCTACTTCATGTCATATGTCATATAAATTTTACAATGCCCTTGCATATAATAGAATAACCCTGTGCTGTTTTTCTGTCCCCAGAGCCACAGACATGTACACTGAAAGATTTCCTCTGTGCCAATGGGGACTGTGTTTCTTCAAGGTTCTGGTGTGATGGAGATTTTGACTGTGCAGATGGCTCTGATGAGGTAGGCATTTTTGTAAAATCAAAAAGAAAGCAGCTCTTTAGAACCACATTTGTAATTATTATTATTCAGTCCAGTAAGTGCGGCAAGGACAGCTCAGAAATACACTTTACTCCTGACACAATGAGATAAGTATTATATGCATGTGCTGGACTGCACATCCCCAGCACAGGGAATAGCTCTTGTGCTGCTATTGACAGTTAATTTTAGAGTCTGTTTTACCTCAACTGGTGAATAGCTGGGTTGGGAATAGGATGTTTGAAAACCCTATTCCCTATAGCTGATGCCCCTGCCATCTGTGAATTAGTTCATAAATTTGCTGCAGTATTTATAGTCAGGACTAATATTTTTATGCATTTTAAACAGTTTCTTCTCCCCAGTCTCTTTCTTCAATAGTTATAGTCTTACAGACATCCATGTGGGTCATCAATTTTCATGAAACCACAGGTTGAGCTTTGCTTCCGTGATGAATCACAATCCATTTATAATAAGGCCTATGTACACACAGCTTTAAGTGAAAAAGTTTACAATTTCTCTGGAAAATTCTATGAACTTAGTCTGTGCTAACATTTATAATACTTCATACAATTTGTTATTTATGAATTTATGTCCTTATGTTTCAGATATTAATTACTCTATGATGCTTTAAAAATAATAAACAACCCATGATTACATATATTTTTCTCAGTCAAATCTAAAAGGAACCCAGCTCTGATATCCCAGTATCAGTGATTTCACATAGATAATATCAGAAACACAAGGTTTGCACAATCAAGTCCAACAAGAAGTGAAGGAAAAAGAACTCTGGCTGGGCGTGGTGGCTTATGCCTGTAATCCCAGCACTTTGGGAGGCTGAGGCGGGCGGATCATGAGATCAGGAGGTCGAGACCATCCTGGCCAACATGGTGAAACCCCATCTCTACTAAAATACAAAAAAATTAGCTGGGCATGATGGTGCACGCCTGTAGTCCCAGCTAATTGGGAGACTGAGGGAGGGGAATCGCTTGAACCTGGGAGGCAGAGATTGCAGTGAGCTGAGATCGCGCCAGTGCACTCCAGCATGGTGACAGAGCGAGACTCCACCTCAAAAAAATTAAAAAAATAAATAAATATATATTGTTCCACAGCATACACCATGTATCCTGTATTGCAATGATTCCCTAAAGCTCTGCTGCTCTTGTTGAGAAGCATATGTACTCGCCTCTCATTAATGCCCTCCCACTGACCATAGACTTGGCCAGAGGATTTTTGCTGCAGCTCTGGAGGTTTCTGTGTTTCAGTTCCCAATTCCCTAGGTATCCACTGATTTCCTGCCTCTGTGGGAGACACTACAGGTCTCTGCTATTTACAGAATTTATGCAAACTAGGTCTCTTCCCACCCTGAGGCATTCCCTGTAGGACTGGACAATTCTCCCTTCTCTCACCTTTTTGAAAAGTCACAATAACCACATTCAACAGCCTATATTTTGAAAACAAACACGTGTCATTTCTCACCTGAGGGCTAGCAAAACCTAAGTCTCAAGGATGAGAAGGTCGCTCAAGAGAAAAAGTTGAAAAATACAGCGCTTCTAGTCATGGAGTTCTTCACAAAATAAAAGTCAAAAGTCAAAATAAAAGTCATTTTTTTTTTTTTTTTAACACAAAGGAGAGTTACATTTTTTACATTTACCAGCCACATATTTACCTAACATTCATACATTTGAAAATTACATTAAACTTTTCTAAGGCAGAAAAACACACTTTAATTAAACTCATCCATGAAAATATCTTGGCTTTGGTTTTATTTAATATGTCGAACCAATCTGGGTAATTTGTAAAACATCAAGAGGTGGGGATATATTGCTTAAGGCTTATGTATTTATCTTGAATCGTATTCACAAGATGTGCAAAGTGTATATACAGAATCGAATACTACTTCTTTAAAATCTTATTCATGTAAAAGTAGATATCGTTATTACCATGTCTCTATCCCATAAGTTGGTGAACACAGTGATTTGATGGTTAAATATATCTCCATATATCCAGACATTTTCATGATAAGGCTCAGAAGAAATGAAATTAATTGTAGTAAAGTCATTTTTCTCTATATTTATAGACGTTTAGTGCAGTCTATATGTAATGAAGTAGCTAACACTATTGGTAGTTGATTTCTATCTTTTTTTTTTTTTATCATCTAGACAAAAAAAAAGACTGAACAAATGGCTAGAAAGCAGAATTACACGCAGAATACTCTCACATTAAGAACAAAAATTGAGAGAATTGTGAAAAGTTTCTGTATGAATGGAACTGATAATATTAGCTTGTTAATAACAAAAAAATAAGAAGTTTAAAAAGTTGGTTCAATCTAATTGTATAGCAAGTATTTATCTCTGTGGTACACACAAAGAATGATTATTTAAAGTGATTTTAAATTATAATATTTTTCCTCTACATTTAGCATAATATGTTGTAAGAACAAAAAAGCAAAGAAATCTTAAACTGCATTCATAGACTTACTGTTAATAATAATATTGGTTCTGCTAATTTGAAGCATGTAGGGTGGTTCAAATGCTTATTTATGTCAATGTCATTAGAACTCAAAATTTAAAAGTAAAAGAAAGGAGATATAAATGTAGAAACAAAAAGTTAAGTAAAAATCCTCTCTTATTAAATCCGAAAGCATCTTTATAAGATCTTGATTAATCTTTCTCTTTCTAAAAATATGTGATTTCTACTTCTGCTAGTGAAAAGTCCTAGAACCAATTATAAACCAATGGTAATGACTATCCTGAAATTCACCAAGTGGTCTCTAAATACCATTTTCCAATTAAAGGAAAGAAGACTCCTTTGAGATATGCCTAATTTTCGGTCTGAGAAAATAAATTGACAAGATGAGCTGCTAACATCTGAGATTATTAAGAGAGTGTACAAAGTGCACAAGAACAAACTTAAAGGAACTTCCACTGACAAAAGGGACAATCTGAGCATTAGAAAGAAAAATGACTGGAAGGGATTAAACCCCACACATACACATACATACACACACACAATGTATAAAAATCAATGAGTTCACAACAATATTTTAAAAAGCAAAAGCTCATTAGTCACTTTGGAGGTTGCAAAGGTAACAACATTTTTAGGATGCAATTAGTCAAATTCAGAATGTGAACTATTCTATAGTATAACTGACCTGTTTTCTTCAAGTAGTAAATGGCATTTTAAAAAACTGAAGAATGAGAAATAGTTATACATTAAAGAAACTTTAATTCAAGGTATAGATCTCTTTTGATTCCTTACATTACCAAACAGTATTTTATATAGCTAAGTGACACACCCGTGCCATTGGTCATTGAGCTGTTTTACTTAAATGAACCCACTTGCAGAGATAATTCATTGCTTCTAAAAATGTTTACTGGATAGTTATTATAATCATGTGACAGTATTAGATACTTGGTTCACAGACAGGCATGATCTTTATCCCAGTAGAACTGGGATAAAGTTATATGAGATGTTAATTTATATTTGTTTTCTACATTTGGTAGTCTATTAATTTATTAATTCACTCAGCGGTTTGTATTGAATGTTTACTACGTCCCAGGCACTAACAGTATGGAGAATACAGTGGTGAATAAAACACGACATCTCTTTCTCATGACATTCTCTAATGTCTTTCACATCATTTGCTATTATGTAGCTTACTCCAGCTGTCCCACATTTCCGATTATCCTTACACATAAAAAGCTTTTTCTTACGTAGTTCCATTTCTACTTAAACTGTCGCCACAAAGAGAAAATTTCAGAAATTTAGAAAGTGAACTCTCCTTCCTTACATGGGGATGAAACTGGGAAGAAGCAGCAAGTAGTAGTTCAACGTGCTTTACTTGCTAGGAGTTCCATAAACCATGAGATCGTTACACTTTCTGTGGAAGAAGCAGACAAGTACATTTTGACAAAAATAGAAATTCCCTAACAACAGGAAACATCATCCCAGTGAGACACTTCGTTAGAGTATTCCATTTCAACCAGAGTGTTCAGACCCAGGAAAGGTGATTTCTAGTGACTCCATTTCATTCATCTCATATGCAGATCCTCAAAGGTAAATTTGCCATCTTGTTTGACTTCCACATAAAATCTGTATATGGACTAGCAGAAATGAAAATGTTGACAGTTCATTTCATAGTGCTTTAGGGAACAATACCAGAAAAGAAGAGAAGGAGAATTACAAACAACTAAACTGTGAAAGGACTGGTACAAAGGAAAAAAGATGGAGAGAGGGGAAAGAAGGAACACCAGGGGAAGCTTTGCCAGTACAAAACAGATTTGTCTTAGGATTTTTGTTTGTCTTGCATTCCATATCCCTAGCCTTCTTCTCCCTCTAGCCAATAAACTGGATGTAGTTTCTTAGAATTAATTTTTGAAAAAAAAAAATTGTTTTTAAACAAGATGTGGCTACATTGCCTAGACTGGAGTGCAGTGGTATTCATGTGTGCCTATCATAGCACACAACAGCCTCAAAGTCTCGGACTCAAGCAATCCCTGCCTCAGCCTCTTGAGTGGCTGGGGCTATTGTGCCAGCTAGAAGTAATTATTTAACCCTTTTATTATCTCACAATCTTCATTATCATCTACAATTATTAAAATTCCATTACCCCATAACTGTCTACTGAATAATCGTACTCTCAGAGTAACTTAATTAGCATGATGAAGCCATACAATTTGTGTTCCTTTTTTCCATTTTTTGTTTTACTATGACACACAGGGACAAATGAAAGTGGAAAATTGTTATTATTCTGTTATTTAGTCATGGGCTTAAAATATTAGCATCTAAGTCACTTTTATATAGTGGACATGGTTCCTACACTTCTGGGTTTCTGTGCATAAGTTGTCTAGTCTTTTAGTTTGTAAACATTTTTCTAAAAATGCAATTTTAATTACATCTGTGTTGTTTTTGACAGAGACATTGTGAAACAAGTTGTTCCAAGATCACATCCAGGTTTTCTATACATAAGTTTCCTTGTCTTTTAAGTGTGTAGATGTGTTTCTAACATTTTAATTTTAATTACATCTCTGTTGTTTTTCATAGAGAAATTGTGAAATAAGTTGTTCCAAAGATCAGTTCCAATGTTCCAATGGTCAGTGTATACCAGCAAAATGGAAATGTGATGGCCATGAAGACTGTAAATATGGGGAAGATGAGAAAAGCTGTGAGCCAGGTAAAAGGATTGAAGTGATATTTCATTTAGTTAACATTTTACCTTTCTAGAATTTAAATTTAAGCAGCAATATGCAGAAAACACTGGCAAATATGTCATATGTTTACCATGTTTAAGAAATGGTCTGCAAATCTGTGGATAAATTAATTAGTGTGTTCTTCATATGTTTTGAAAGTGTTTTGGAAGATAAGATCATTACTTATAAATGGAATCCAATCATAATTTCCCCAAATTTGATTTTCTGGTATCTATATCATATTATACCATTTGGAATTGTTTCCCCAAGATAGCAAAGTAAAATCTGTTGAAATTATAAGTACAGTAAAAGACAAGTTTTTAGTTATGGAAATGATGATTATGAACTAGAATGTACCCATTTCAATGTGATGCTAGCTAAGAAGAAGCATAATTGTATTGTTTGTATTTACATCTTGGGCCAAAATTTGAGTAAAGTTAGAAAGCAAAGCCAGAAAAAAAGATACACTATTCAATTTATGTGCTAGGTGGCTCTATAAATATACTCATTAAAACACTTCATTTTTAATTATATATTTTAATTACATTATCTTACAGAAAAAATATTACTGGTGGAAAACTATACTCTGATGTATGTATGACCATAAAAACATTACCTTGAGAGACTAGGTCAGAGTCACAGCTACAAGACTCATACATTACTATGATCCAGTACCATGTCCATGGGCCATATTGTTAATTGATCACTTATTTCTTTCTTACTAAATACAGACATATTATTAGACTCCTTATGTACACAGATCCCTAGACAAACACTGCCAATTAAAAAGAGTTAAAACTCAAGGAAAAAGCTTTTTAGTATCCTTGAGTTAAGGAATGCAGACCACGAAGTCATTAAGTAAGTACAATAGACTACATGGTGGTCTAACATAAGGCCAGAAGCCCAGACGTTTGAATGCAAGCCTAGCCAACTCAAGCCCATAGACAGAGGCAGCTGTCATAATTTCTGTCAATTAATTAGACTGGGTAGTATTTACGTCTTGTGACTAACACACTTACAAATATTACAAACTTGCCAATATTATACTTGTAAATAACATTTAGCTGCTTGTTTTTCTTAATTTCTGCATCATAAAGGAACACTGCACATTCTGTTAACTCTGTTAATTACACATGTATTCATATTTAAAATCCCCAAACAATGCAATTCTTAGAACCTATTCAAATACTTTATTTATGTCAATGCAACGAAATAGATATCATTGGGTCTATGAGACCATGCCAAGATTTCTACTTTGTGCTTTATGCAGTGAATGTAAGATTAACATACTCAAAGGTTACTAAATATTATTACAGTTTTGAAAGTAATTTGAGACTTCAATAATTTAAAATAATTTCATTTAAAATTGTAAAAATAAAAACTCGTGTAACACTTCAAAATCAAAGGGATGAAGGATATCAAGGTTTTCTTTTTCCTTCTATGGACTATTGAGTAAAATTCTTACTGCACAGGCTATTACATCATGAAGTATATTTAATATAATGCAATAATATTATAAATAATTATAAAATTATTTAAATAATTTAAATGAATCTGTAATACCAGTCTTTAAATATATTTATATAGTATAAACTATTTTTATTACCATCTATAAATTCATATACTTATATGTTTATGTTTTTATTTCTAAAACCTGTTATTTTTACTCTATCTCAATCTCAAATTTATAATTGTATTCAGCTTCTCCTACTTGCTCATCAAGTGAATATATATGTGCCAGTGGTGGATGTATTTCAGCATCTTTGAAATGTAATGGAGAATATGATTGTGCTGATGGTTCAGATGAGGTAAAATATATTGTTTAATTAAAATATTTGAATTATATGAATTAGGTTTGGGCAAACAAATGTAATGAAAACAAAGGAAAGAATCTTGATTCTTAGCACAGTTTAACATGTTGGATATGTACATTGAATGCAATCATTTCAGCAAATACTTGAATCTTCATGCTGTCCATATACTAAAGTTCATTCTCATTTGTAGAAATTATATTCATTAAGACAAAGTGAAAGGAAGTGCATGGTATAATAAATCTCTAGTATTACAAGCTGCATGTTTATTTTGCCCATGATTGTGTCATTATCATTAATGAAAACTGCAGTGTCCATTTGTATTTGAACAGATGGACTGTGTGACTGAATGTAAGGAAGATCAGTTTCGGTGCAAAAATAAAGCCCACTGTATTCCAATTAGATGGCTGTGTGATGGAATTCATGACTGTGTGGATGGCAGTGATGAAGAGAACTGCGACAGAGGTAAAGTATTTGTGTATGTGAGTGCCTGTAAATGAGAGAATGAGAGTTAAGGTGCTGTGCAGAATATACAGTGTGTGCTAGAGGCAGAGGATAGAATCCTTAAAGGATTCTCTTTCCTATTCCAAGTTTCATTACATAGCAGCCTGGTCTAAATATGCAAAATCCAGATCATTGTCAGACAGAGCATCATCTCAATCTGGGCATGACAAACACTAGCACTGGGCAAGAGTTCACTGAGTGTCTACCATTTCAGACTAGATGCCAGGTCAAGTATGGGGATATGTGGAGAATACAGAGAAAGAGTCAATAAAACCATGACTACAAAACTATATCCTGAATTTTCTGTACATTCTTTCCTTTCACATTGCTTGCCTTACTCTGAAAACATAGGAACAACAGATGGCATACTCAGTTGCACACATTCATATGCTGTATGATATCTAGGTTATAGGCCGTGCCCCAAATCCCTAAATTTCCTTATTGCCATATCATTGAGAAAATAACCTACATTTTTTTTTGTCAGTCTAAGAGACAACTTTCCGTTTTGTCATAGATTATTTCCCAGCTACGCGAAGAGCATTTTCTGACAGATAACCACATTTTAGTTTCAAGCCACCACATTAAACGTAGCAATGGTTACTACTTAGAGTTATTTCCCAAAGCAATTGTGTGCTGAAGATTAAAATGATCACAAATGAATCCATATTTGCTATTTTCATTTTGTTAAATACATGTTTTAAATACAAAATTTCTTGTGACTTGCTTACAAAGTCTCTCAATAGAGTTTACACTTCTTGGTGTTTGGAAGATCATTAATAGAGATGGTACTACATATTGCCACGTGATTCAAGGCACTTGAATGTGCACTCTAGGTTTACATACTTTAAATCTGTCTCACATGTTTACTTTTGTGAATATGTAGTCACCTAAGAAAAACGGTATTTTACTTTCTTTAATATTATTTGAGATGTTTATGGATATCTCCATCCCAAACCTGATAAAGTGTTGTATTATGAAGAAAAAAAATAGTTCTTTTGTTTGCTTTGTTTTTTTAACAGCTCCTTGCAGAACAGGGCTAACTCATAGGAAGTGCACCCAAAGTAGGCCTTCAATTTCATTTTGAATTTGCTGTTTATAATAGAGAGCGGTGAAATGTTAAATGTCCATAATAGCTCTTTCTACCTTAGGCTAAGTTCTCACACTCGCTTTCTGTAATTGGTCACTCTAGAGACAGCAAAAGTTGTGGACAGTCTGGCAGCAATAACTCATGTGACTTTTGTATTCAAAGGTTTGGGGATGATGATTAAGCTACTCCTTGTTTTCCATATTCTAGCGAATCACCTCTGTTGCTCAGCTTCAATCACTACCACCTGCCTAGTTCATTCTCCCATTGCTTCTTGCTTGGACTGGCATAATGCCACCTAACTGGTCTCCCGTACATCCTATTTACTGTTACAAGGTTCATCTTATGTAAGTGTCCCTCCGATTGTGTCAGTTTTTACTCAAGGTACCTGATTACATACAAACAATTCAATCTAGTAATCAGGGTTACAAGAAAATGAGCCCATTTTACCCTCCCAGGCTTACTTTCTACTGTGCCTCTTTATGTATTGTGTCCTAGCCAAACTAGAAAATCTCAACTACCTTTCAGTTCTAAAATTATTCTACTAAATATTTAATCTTAATGACTGAAAAAGAGTTGAGAGCCTTTAATTCAATCATTTAGAAATGTTTCAAAGCCCCCTTCCCCTCCATTCATACCTCTAATTTGGTTTTCTTTGCTGCTGAGTAATTAAGCTCCAATGACATATTTTAGTGGTTAAATTATTTGATCCCATATGAATGTACCATAAGGCATTACCACCTTCAGATTTCTAGTATTTAATTTACTCTCAGGAAGTGGCGTAGGTATTAGGTAAAGGCATTTTAAGGCATTGAGGAAATGGGATTCCAGAATAAACATCTTTTCTGTTAAATCTCATTTCCATTCATTTCCAATCAGGATACCCATGAGCTAACAGGAGCTGAGTGTTGGGAACAGGAATATATGAGAGCTGAAGGATAAGCATAACACATTTTCCCAGTGAATCAGTTTTACTAGTTTACTTTAAAAGACAAAAATTCAAAATACTCTGGAATTAAAAGCTGCATTCATACTTTTGAAGGTGAAATATATGGCCTCAAGGAAGTGTGGTGCTTGTTCTGGCTTGAGCTTTCAAACTTTACACTTTATATAATACTGGTGGAAGGCCGGGCACGGTGGCTCAAGCCTGTAATCCCAGCACTTTGGGAGGCCGAGACGGGCGGATCACGAGATCAGGAGATCAAGACCATCCTGGCTAACACGGTGAAACCCCGTCTCTGCTAAAAAATACAAAAAACTAGCCGGGCGAGGTGGTGGGTGCCTGTAGCCCCAACTACTCGGGAGGCTGAGGCAGGAGAATGGTGTAAACCCGGGAGGCGGAGCTTGCAGTGAGCTGAGATCCGGCCACTGCACCCCAGCCTGGGTGACAGAGCCAGACTCCGTCTCAAAAAAAAAAAAAAAAAAAAAAAAAAAAAAAATTACTGGTGGAAAAGATTGGGCGGTTCTTTTTTGAGTAATTATCAGCTTAACAATGTGTAAGTTAGTCAAATAAATTATAAAGTATTATCATGTATTAAAGCTTCTCTCAACCCAGTTAAGATGAGAACTCTAGATGTTTATTTTCTGTGATGATGCACTTGACCAGATTTATATGAACTTGTCAAGGCCTCTGTTATAATTTAGATGTATTATTGTTAATTAATATATACTTTTCTATTTTCCTAATATTTCCTGTTGAGCTGATTAAGAACATAACTGGGAAACTAGAATTTTAATTCAGCCAATCCCTTTAAATTATACCTTTTTTGTTGTTTATATGTGCTTTATGCCATTTCAAAATAAGGAATTTTAAGTGAGTCTCAGGATGTCATGGTAGCCCCATGATGCATTTTTTTAAATGCAAATTTTTTGGAGTACAACATCAAGTCTTTAGTAGGTTACCACAAAACCTTTGCCTTTCTGTTATAATATAATTTCATTTATACTTCTCTTCTTTTAAATAAATCAGTGGCATATCCAACACTCATGTGGAGAAAATTATAACGTTATCTAATGCAATACCTTAGGGGACTCATTTTTTAACAAGACTGATGTATATGGTACAAATAGAATTTTCTAAAATAATCAGAGAATGTCAAAAGTTCACAAATTCTGTTTGAATGTAATCCATTGTAAAATGGAGCATGTGATGAGATTTAGTCATTAGAATCTTTATGCTAAAAGTAAACTCTGCTTCATATTCTATGGATTTGATTTTGAGTTAAGGCAATATACTCACTTCATACTGATATTCATATCTTTAATTTCTTTAGTACTAAGGACTGCACACTGCACATACTATCTTTTTTATTGTTTTCAGAGTGAGACAGTTGTTAAATAGTACTGAATTTTATTGCACAGGTTTTCATAATTGAGATTAATTGTAAAATTACAGCAGTATGGAGCTCAGCATTGCAGAAGTTTGGGAGAAAGGGCTATCTCAATGACAGATGCTGAACTGTCAGAGTCTCACATGGTGACATTCACCTTGGTGGGTTCACCCAGCCCTTGCCTTTGTCTGTTTCTTAGTTTGATGGTTCTCAGAGATGGCAATGTAAGCTGTGCCAGTTCTGCTAAGCACTTTTGCAGACAATTGTACTATTATTCAGATCAATATCACTATAAATTCTTGGTCTAAGCTTTATCTTTTACTTAAGATACTAAGCAGTCTGCCCTTGTTTTCCTAATCATGTTTCTGCCATTAATCGTATCAGGTTTTTAAAAAGGCAACTATCTCAAATCTGTTTCCAAGCCATCTCTCTTAGTAACTTCACCTTCTTCTTTACAGAAATAATAAAAATCATGAGCATTTTTCAACATCTGGCCACCAAACTAACAAATCTACCTGTAGCTGGCCTCAGGCTTTCCTCCTTCCTTCCTCCCCAAACAGAAGACTTGTTTCACTTCCAGTCTAAGCCCATTCCATTCATTTTGCTCTAGATCTCAAATCTCTCACACTCTCTGGATCCTCCAGAAACTCGTTACATTAATTACCCTTTTGCTCTCCTGTACCCTCAAATGTGTCTTGTCTACTGAATTCTTACCAGAAGCATTTAAATGTGTTCAGGGATTTGTTCTTCCTCACACAAGCAATGAGGCTCACTTTCTGGTCTCTTTCTTCCCTTTATGGCCAAACTTCTGGAAAGAGATGTTTACATTTGCCTCCTTCTTCTCATTCAATAGCCAATGACAATCATTTCATTAAACTCACCGCCATTTCACTAAACCTGCTTTAGAATTAGTTACATGGGCTATCCCTCTCGTTAGAACACTTTCCCCATGTATTGTCTGGCATCACTCTTTTCAGATATTTCTCTAACCATTTTGATTACTTTTTCTCAGTCTCTTTTGTAGACTCCTCTTTACTTACGCAATCTGTTTTTCTCTGTGTTCTCTTTTAAATTTCAAATCATAACTATATTCTGATCACTGCCAGATGCACGTTTACTGCTCAAAAACCTATCCTATATTTCAGACATATTTATCCACCAGCTTGCTCGACATCACCACATGGCTGTCTACCAGTACCTTAAATGAATTATGTTTTAAGCCTGCTCCTCCTGCTGTGTTCCTTTATTTAATGAACAATGCCATCTACCAAATGGCCCAAACACACTAAAAAATGAGTACCATGTTTGTGTGCTCACTTTCCTTTGCCACTCTCATCTATTTAGCCACCAGGTCCTGAGGAGTGTTCCTTCTGAAGAGTTCTCAGCTGTGGCTCCTCTAGATCTAGTTACCATCAGTTCTTCTCTGGATTGCCATGACCTCTCTTGAAATATGTCTTTTTCCTGTTGTCTTTACTGTCCCTCTCTTCATTTCTAAATTCTCGACACCAGAGCTAGAGTTTTCATTCTACAATCCAACTGATTCGATCACTTCTTAAATTAAGCCTTTTGCTACTGAATGTGAGTTATCAGAGATTTCTGTAACAAGTCAGAACTCAGAGCAAGGAGAATTATTTGATCTTCATAAGTTCGGGCACATTATTCCTTCCAAAGTACATCTGCAAGAGGAACAATGGCTCTTTCTGGGTATTTTCTAGGCTTTTAAGGGTGATCACTGTCACTGCTCTGCCCCATATTTTGGTGAATGTATGTGTGTTTAAATATGTTAATACCTTCAGTAAGTCAAATATGGACAACCCATGACTCATAGCTCTTATCTATATATGAGGATTAACTAAGTAGTGTAACCCTTTGGAAGCAATCTGATTTATCTTAATTCTGTACTCTGATATTTGTATTGTTTCCCCAGGTACTTCTTGCACCTATGACCCTATACATTAACTGTACCTCTTTTATAACATATAAAAACATTGAGTCCCAGAGATATTAATAGAGTTATCCAAAGCAAGACTAGAGCCCACAGTTCCTAACTCTCAAGTCCTAAAACTCCACTGTATATTGCTACACCTCTAGACATATAACCCAAATTTGTTCGTTACTTAGGTCCTTTGCATGTGGTAGATGTACTTAAGAATTGTGTATTAGAATATTTTTGTATTCCTGATGTTTTTATTTATTTGTTAAAGGAGGAAAATGCAAACATTTTAAAAATCCAAAAAATAATGCTTTACTGCACAACTTTTATTTTTAAAAAAAATCCCTGAAATATTGTGTGATATGGCTAAATTCTTATTGCTGTTAGAAAATTGTTTCTTTGTGATTTCAAAAAAAATTTTTACTGGTTATTCTAAGTTTTTAGTGATCTAGTTTATCAGTATTTCAGATACAGCTAAATTGTCTAATAATTCTAAAAATGTCTTTTCTTCAAGAAAAACACAAATTTTAATAATTACAATTAAAACTAAAAAATATAAATTTCTGTGTATTCAGCAACATAAAAATTATGTGAAACAGAGAAAACTTTAGATTCTTAAAAACTTTCTTTTAACATCTTATCAGTATTTTCTAAAAAAAGACATATGTGAAAGTCATATTAGAATGTTTTGAAATGTAAACAGTGAATACATTTTATTAAAAAAATTGAACATTACTTGTTTCTGGTATTATGCTCGAAATAAATAAATGGAAGCAATCAACTAGATACTGTTTGCTAAGATTCAGAGGAATATGTGTCCTGCTGACTGGCATTGATTACCCTGAATCTCTTTGTTTCTTTTTGTTTTAAAATAAAGGAGGAAATATATGTAGAGCTGATGAGTTCCTTTGCAATAATTCTCTCTGCAAACTACATTCCTGGGTGTGTGATGGAGAGGACGACTGTGGAGACAACTCTGATGAAGCCCCTGATATGTGTGGTATGGCATTTCACGTGGCTCTAGATTATACTTTTATCTTCTGATCTTATGCCCCAGCATGAATCAATGAAGTGGTGAGGTGAACTACAAATTATACCATCCTGGGGTTAGGTAGATAAAGTGTAACCACAGATACAGCTTTTGTTCAGGTAATAAAGGGATAATCCTGTTCAGAAGTTATGACTTTATAGAGACTCATCCTAATGTGAACTTGCACAAGTCAACACTATTCAGAAGAGAGATAGAGTAATTGACATTTTAATTGAATAAGATTCATATAATAATTTTGGCTTCACATGAAATTGGAGTTTTATGTTAATTTTGGAGGGGTACAGATAAGCAAATTAAAAATACATGAATAATAAAATCTCATAGTTTCACAAGCCACCCACTAATGAAATATCTATCTGTCTATCATCTATCTATTAATCATCTATCTGTATATCTGTCTATCCACATATCTGTCTGTCGGTTTCATTACAAGTCTTAAGCACAGAACTGAAATTAGGAGTTATTTAACATTTAAACCTAAAGAATCTTAACAAAAGTTATTGTTTCTCCAAATTCAAGTTACTCTTGACTGACATTTGTCCTGTATATGCTTATGAGACCAACAAATATAAAAGTCTAATTTTAGATCAGCAGCATAAAGGATCTCTTCTATTTTAACGAACTTTTCTGGTCTCTGTTCTCATACCTTTTGTCTAATCTCTGCAAGAAATGTAATTTCACCTATATTTTAAAGGAAAATGCTGCCATGTCAGATATAACTCAGTGGCACACCAGGTAAATTAAAGAAAGAAAATACAGCATGAGTGTATGTACTTACAGTTTTTGTTCTATTTGTTGCATCAAGTTAAGGCAATATTTAGATATAGATGGTGACATTTCACTACTGATGTTACAGTCGGGGAAAATACAAAAATGCAGGCAGCTTTGTTTTGTTAAGTATTTAAAAGTTGAAAAAAAAAAAAACAGGCTTTGGAGAGTTTTTTTCTATAGATAAAACTCATTACGATGAGTAATGCAACTAAATTTCAGCTTCAGTTTTCTTTACATAATCTTCGAAATAAACTCTGAGTAATCACCAGGGATTATATTGTTTCTGAATCATAATATATTAAACAATATGAGAGCTTATCTACCAACATCAATCCAGAACCTATTATTTTTTTCAATTATATGACTTTTTTTTCTATTCTGTATCCCATTTGACCACAAAACCAGTGAGTGGAAAAGAAAATTTTCGATAATCGATGTACGGCTGCAGAATCAAACTCTCCTAGAGTCACTTCCAGGGCCATGAATTGATTCTCAGGAGCATTCCACACAGCACAGATGGGAAACCTTGTAAAATCCAGATTGACTGTCCGAACATTTTTACGTTTCTCTCAGTGAGCAATATCAACATTGAGTCAAGCTATTATATGCCAGAAATTGTGCTAATTAGGACAAAAAATGGTTCTTTTTGACAAGGAGATCTTATTCTGCCTGTACAAATAAAAATAATTTTGATACCCTGTATTTCCAGCAATGATAGAATTAATTAAAAGTATGGAAAAGGCAGAGAGAGATTCAATGAACTCTACCTAAAGAATAATACAGAAAGCTACAGCGTTGAAGGAGCTAGACTAAAAGACATCTTAAGCAATGTGAATGGCATGAGAAAAGGTATCATTCATTCATTCAATAGACATTTGTTCAGCAAGAGACTGTGATTAATTTGGTGATATAATGATGAGAGAAGTGAACATGAACCCTGACCTCACAGAGCTTAGAATCTAGTGGAAGATGGATATTAATGGGAACAAAAATATATACTTACAAATTATGATACATACTATAAAGAAAAAGTATGGTAATTTGTAAAAGTATGGAACAGAAAGATTTTATCAATCATAGGGTATGAGAAATTACATTTTAGTTCAGGCCTGGGAAATATTTAGCTGCTGAATAGGTGAAAAGAATTGAGGTTGGGAGTGGAAGTGTGACACAAAATTGCAGACAAACGAAATAAGATATGTGAAGGCTCTGGGCAGGGCAAACCATGGCTTACTCAAGGAACTGAAGGATTTGTGTTCCCAGGAGTTACAGGCATTCCTGGATTTACCAGATTGTAGCCAGATAAACATACTGTAAACAGGAAATAATGTAAATTGACAGTGTGTGTTTGACTTTAAAATATTTTCAATATATAAAGGATAAAAGAGTGATGAGCTTGTTAAATTTGAAACTGTTGAGGGGATGTCGTACAACCAATTGTGAGATGTTTGAACTAGATAGAGAATTGAAAGTCTTCAGGATATAGTGGAAAGTAAATCAATGAGAGTGAATAAACATGTATAAGCAAAGAATTCAAGTGTGAGAACATCAGGGGAACACCGACAGAGTCCTGGATAATTTCACATCTAAGGATGAAGACTAATGACAGATACTTCCTGCTTTAAGAGTGGAAGTCTTCAGATTAGATAGTAATAGAGGAGACAAATGTAAAATTCCCTGGCTTTCATTGTGGTCTTTTTAAATACACACAAAAACATGCACATTAAAAATGAATAGCTAAGATCATCTATGTGCCTCAGATACATATCTAAACCTTTGTTTACAGAGACAAAGAGTAAGAAATAAAGCTATAATACTGTTGGGATTTTTGTTTGTTTGTTTTCACTGAATGACCTATTTTCAATTTTGGACCTGTAACATATGCTTGCTCTGGCTCTAGGCTGTGTGAAATTGCTCTTTGAGATAGCTAAGTGTCCTGCCATATTGCATAATTGTAGGCATAAATTAATTTGGTACACTAAGTAAAGTCAGCTAACATAAGGCATCTGGAAATGAGACCATAAAGTTTGGCTCTTTCTTATTTCCTTGAAGATCCTCAGCTGTGCACATTTTTCTGTAGTTAATATAAATAACTAGAATCATCACATATTTTTCTGGTAGCCACTAGTAGGCAATTGTCATAGCAAAAAAAGGTATTTAGAAAAGTTAGCTTATGGTTTTGAAAAGAAAGAATAAAAGAAAAAGGGAGAATGTTCTTCATAAATCAATGTACCCGAAAGAGCTTCTTTGTTTTTTCTTCTTTTTCTTCAGTCAAATTTCTTTGTCCATCCACAAGACCTCACAGATGCAGAAATAACAGAATATGCCTACAGTCTGAGCAAATGTGCAATGGGATTGATGACTGCGGGGACAACTCAGATGAAGATCACTGTAGTGGTAAATGTGTTTAATGTGAAATAATTCAGTGATGGCTACAAGGTTCTCTGATGACTTGGAGTACAAATATTTTTAAAAAATATATTTCTTATGTGGATGTCTGAGAGCATTATTTTCAGACGTTTGATCTTCTGACAAGGTATAAAAGTATTCCACCAGCATTTCATTTGCCTTATAGCTGTGCACCTTTATCCATAGTTCCCACTAACCACTTTATTCTAGAAAATATTAATCCCGGAGAAGCAATATAGAGATTTTAAAATGCTCCTTGTTTAAAGACCTAATTCGTTGAAGAAAGGGAGCTTATATAGATTGTATGTATATGCAATTCCTTTTTCCAAATTCTGAAGTTCAAAAACCTTTTAATGCAAAAGACTTATGTTTGCAACAAAATCATTGGAGACAAAGCTCGACCTGATCTAATTGGAGCCATTTAATATCATCCTCTAAAAAAATTCCACTTAGGGTAAATATTTTTAAAATTTTCTGTAGATATCAGTGTTAAAGTAAACACACTGTCACTTTCCTAAAATCTAAAAATTTCAGAATGTTTAAAAATTTGACCTTGAGAGCTTCAAATCAAGGATTATAAACCCATGTTTTTCATAGTAGTTAGTAAAATTTTGGAGATATTACATGCTCAATAGTGTGTTTTGATTCTGTGGAGCACTAATCATTTTTTGTATGCCTCTATAGGTAAGCTGACATATAAAGCAAGGCCTTGTAAAAAGGATGAGTTTGCTTGTAGTAATAAAAAATGCATCCCTATGGATCTCCAGTGTGATCGACTTGATGACTGCGGAGATGGTTCAGATGAGCAAGGATGCAGAATAGGTGAGCTTGTTTTCTGTTAAGCAAAGTACCGGGATACACAAGTCTAACTTCTGCTTGTATATGACTAAAATTTTCTGGATGTAAATATTGCTCTTCAAAATATGCTTTACTGATGCCCTTTTTCAAAAACCTTTGCCAAAGCAACCTTAGAATACTACTTAAGTTAATTTCAGACAGTATGAAGTGGACAAGGTTGACTTTGTAATGAGTACCCTTGTTAAAGCAGAAGCTGAGAAATCAATATTCAAATATAGAAATTGATGTCAGCAATGTAATCTATATCATTTAGTAATTTGTCTTAGACAAATGTAGTGTTTTTAAATTTTATAAACAGTGATATTTAGTTGAATGGTAGTAAAGGTCTTAATTTAGTCAATGATTTTTTAAAAAAATTAATCCATTGCCAAATCATTTTTATAGAAGATGTGGTTTTTTTTTTTTTAGCTCGAGTGCCATGATACTTGAGTTATTACATCCTGATTGTGAATAGTTTATATTTAACTAATGCTTGGCATTTGACTTTTTTGTATTAGATAAAAGTAATTAAATTTATGATCCTAAATTCAGTTTGCTTACAGAAGTCACACAATATTTCCTACTTTTGGATCTTTTCTTTTATTTTTATTTATGCATCTAAAATGTTCCTAACTTAGGGATGAAGCAATACCCACCGGGATATGGCTACATGTGTCTAAACTGTGGTATCATGCCACTGACCTATTTTAACTAATTGTAAAATATTCAAGTCAGTGGGGACAAATAATAGTTGCAATTATTATAAAGTTCTCATATTTGTCAAAAATTTACTTTAAGTAACTTAGAGATAATATAATGTTATCCTTATAATAATGTCCCTCTCATTTATTTAAAAGAGAAGATCTTCTAACATGTTTTCCTGAATGGGAGATAAAGCAGTAAAATTGCAACTGCTCTCCTGGAAATTACAAGTAACTTTTTGTCTGTCCCAGAACATTGCAGCTTATAAACAACCATTCTGAGCGCATTACACACTCAAATGTTACTTTTCATATGTCTGTCCATCATAAAAAAATGAAATTTAAACTGCTGATTTAGCCGACTTGCTTGAGTAACTTAGCAGTACCCTTGATTGAGTTTACAAATATTAAGCATAGGTTAGCAATAAATGCCTCAATTTTGAAGTAGCTTATAGGAAATGCTTTGGCTCTCAGAGAAAGATGTAGTACTTATATATAGTACTGTAATAAAGATAGCCTGTCATTAGAATCATTGACTCCTGACTTACTTTAAAAAAGTATATTATAGCTTAAGAGCAACCCTAAATATCAGCTGTTAGCAGCTTGGTCTAATCTGTATTTAATGTTAATGAATTCAGTTTTTATATTTCTATACATTTATAAGACATGGGGCTTATATGGAGAGAAGACCTTAACCTTATATACTCAAAAATAGTTATCTGTGGAGTAATCAATACTTTTTCAAATATTTTTAAAAAGTAAACTCCCCACTTCAGGAATTAGAATTATATTAGTTTTGATCATATTTTTAAATCCCAGCTCCTACTGAATATACCTGTGAAGATAATGTGAATCCATGTGGAGACGATGCATATTGTAATCAAATAAAAACATCTGTTTTCTGTCGCTGTAAGCCTGGATTTCAGAGAAACATGAAAAACAGACAATGTGAAGGTAGAGTACTTTTCCTCAACAGCTTGCTCGTAAATCTTTGGGTTATGAAAAGACTTCCAAGACTTCTAAATTGTGAAATCACAGGGGATTGATTTTCATCAAAATGATGTCTATGTACGGGATACCATTTCACTTATGAGAATGAAAGTCTCTGGGGTCAAGAGCTTGTTTGTTTGTGGAGCTAAGCTAACCACGACAGAGGCTACAAAGCTTTTTCTATAGCAAATTCAGAGCTGCAGGAATTTCAATTCTATTGCTACAATACTGTTTTGAAATGCAAATAATGAAATTGCTGGTTCAGGAACTATTGGAGAATTAGTCTTGCTTCATGAAAAAAAAAAAAATATGTTCATGATGACCCATTTCTCTTGAGTGTGGCATTTGCAATACTGAAATAGGTAAATCACATTTAGAGAGGCATGGGCTTTTGTCCTAAAATCATGTTTTAAATACATCATAATGTGTCTTTAAAAATTCAAAGTCAGGATCTACATAAATCTGTCAACTTACTTGAGATCATTTAAAAATTGAGCATGTAGGATAGCCAAAATCTTATAGTAAGTAAGTAAATATAATCTACATCAGTGTTCTAACTATAGAACCATGAAATGCAGACCCATATGCACTTTCTGCAAGTTTCTCCAATAAAACTGCTATTTGTATTCATATTCACATTATTGTAAGTACAGCCAAACTTAAAATAACTAAGTCTGGCTTATCCAGGCTAAATTCAAGTCTTCAAATGCTTTTACCTACCAGCTTGCTTTTGTTATGTCTCTCTGTGATATTTTGGGGCTAAGAAAAATGATTTTACTTTGTGTTAATCAAAATGGAATTATTTAAATGAATTGATTCTACTCACCCAAAAGGGGGATAAGTGTAGTCACGTCATGTTTATCTACATTTTGAGTTATATGTGTATTTGGATTATTCGTGACATTTCATTTTTCCATTACCGTGAGATTGAAAGCTGACAATCTAGGATTCCTGTATTTTAGTTAACAAATGAATTATCTTTCAAACTATGGTATTTATTTTTCCAACGCTCTACCAATTACATATAAACACACACACATACACAATTCTTTCAAGATTTTAATTTCAATAACATTTATTTTCTAATATTTATTTGTGAGTGGGTTTTTTTTCTGTATGTATGTACTAAATTTAGAAATTATATTCTTCAACTTTTCTTAATTTTTAATTGTATTCCACAGCAAATATAACCTGCACACTACATTCTTTATTTTAAATTGCTATGAATCTACTTTTTCATATTATTTTGTAGGACAAATGAGTAACTTCTGAACTCTAATAAAATGTTCATCTATTAAAATAGTTCTATTTCAGTGTCAAAGAAGGGTAAGACAACTTGGATTCTATAATCCAAAAATTTAAATGTGTTTGTACCCTTCACTTATGTATCTGAAAAAAAATGCATAAGAAATTGCTGTTTGATGTTAAAGCCCAAACACTTCAATTAGAATATCTAAAGGGAAAAAAGTAAAGAGGAATGATGGAAGAAAGTAGAAGGGGATTAACAGTTGCTGAGTGCCAGGTACTGTTTTGGGTACTAGGCATGTGTGGAATTCCTCCATCCCCTTCAAAACCTCATGATCCAGGATTTCCAGAGATGAGGAGAAAATGATGCTTTGGGCCAGTATGGAGACAAGTGAGGAAGTTGAGGTTTTATCAAATCATGCAGAATATTGCTTATTTGGATTCTGTACCAAAGGGAAACCATAGTGACAAATAATTGCCTGTTCAAAGTTACAGATGCTGAACAAATCAGAAATATTTGTTGTAATTGTGATGGTTAAGTACTGACAAGATGCATTCCACTTCATTCCTGTAAAATATTTATTAAAAACAACTAAATACAGTTTTCTGCATCTATTTACTCTACATTTCAATCAAATAGCAATGTGTTGCCTGAAAATACTTATGTGTTCTTAGGCAAAGTATCACAGTAAAGTCAACAAAATCAGAAAACCTGAGTTTAAGCCCTGATGTTGTGATTTACAAGTGTCACTACCACTGAGCCTTAGAACATTGTTGTGTGCTACGCAAAAAATAGTTATTCATACTGTGCTGATTCTTAAGTTCTCTTATTCAAGGGAAGGATTTATCTCACAGATTTATTAAGTAATTAGGAGATTATAAGTGATAAAATGAGGCAGGGGAAATATGCTGGTTAAACACAAAAGTAGAGGAGGAAAAGAGAAGAAGGTTAGACAGTTCCCTAGAATAATCTGGCCTCAATCCTGGCTCTTCATAAGCCCTTAAAATTAGAGTCATGTGCCAAACTACATGACTCTAATTAAATCACATGAATACTGCCTGTGATTTATTTATTTATGCTCGTGATTTAGAGTTATGTATTCATATATAGGCATGCAGTTTTTTGCTTGCTTAATTCACATAATCTCAATACAGCCCTTCTTGTTACATAGTCACTTCATATATATGAGTCCAGAAGTGTATTAGAGATGCACCCAAATCTTTGTTCTCTGCCAGTCATTGTGCAAAATCTGGCAATGAAAAAGGAATGTATCATAATTTATGTCCTCAAGGGACTGACATTCAAGTAGAAGATATGATTATGTAACCACATTCCTGAAATATAACAACAGTGTAAGAAAGAAACACCAGGAGAGCAAAGACTGGAGGAACTAGTGATGAATCATCACACTCATATATCGTGGAGACCAAGGAAGGCTTTATTTCAGGTGGATCTTGAAAGATGAGTAGAAATTCTGTATGGAAACGTGGGCAAGGGCATTACAGGATGAAAGAATAGCCCATGACATCTGCAAAGGCATGAAGGTAGGTCATCACAAACAGCTTAGAAGAAAACCTCAAGGCAGGTCTATTTGCGTGAATGGAAATCTATACAACAAACCCCAATGGGGGTACAAGTTTATCTAGTAGCAAACCTGCACTTGCATCCTTGAACTTAAAAGGTAAAAAAATAAGTAAACATTTTAAAACAGAAAAAAAGAAGCCTCAGGGAAGTTTGAAATTGATGTTTTAATATTCTAAGTGGATTAATAAAAGCAATGGCAACTGATGAATCTTCTAGCACAAACATTGTGAAAAATGATTATACTTTCACAAATATGGCACTGCAAGTCACAGATTAAACATGTGAAAGGACAATAAAAACTAGTAATATGTTAAAGAAAAATAATTTTGCTTTTTTGAAATGTGGTAAGAATAGGAGTATGAACTGGGGTTCTGATGATGCTATTTTGAGCTCTTCTTTTCTAGACATCAATGAATGTTTGGTGTTTGGCACATGTTCCCATCAATGTATAAATGTGGAAGGATCATATAAATGTGTGTGTGACCAGAATTTTCAAGAAAGAAATAACACCTGCATAGCAAAAGGTAAGATTATAACCACTATCGCAAATACTATTACAATTTTGTTGTAAACATTTTATGGAGAAAACCATTTGCTGTTTCATTTCAGCGACAGCTTCATTTCTCATAAAATAAAAATATTTTTAATGATTATTAATTTGACCAATTGGTGAGTTAATATTAATGAATTTAATCTTATATGGCTTATGGAAATGACTATGAAATACATGGTTACTGTTAAAATCACATAGTGTTCAAAACAATTTTTCAAAAGGGGTAAAAGTTTAAAAGCCAGTGCGATAGAATGTGAAGTATCTCTCTTGATGGTCTGCTCTAAGGGAATATGATAAAAATTATGCCCCTGGGATAAAAATAAAAGGTTAAATATTAGCATTATAAGGAGAAAGGAATTTTGAGTAAGGATTTTAAGGGTTTTAAAACAAGATCTTTCTTTCAAATTTAGAACTCCTCCACTTACTAATATTATTATTATTATTATTATTTTTTTTTTTTTAATTTTTTTTTTTTTGGGATGGAGTCTCGCTCTGTCACCCAGGCTGGAGTGCAGGGGCCAGATCTCAGCTCACTGCAAGCTCCACCTCCCGGGTTCACGCCATTCTCCTGCCTCAGCCTCCCGAGTAGCTGGGATTACAGGCGCCCGCCACCACGCCCGGCTAGTTTTTTGTATTTTTTTAGTAGAGACGGGGTTTCACCGTATTAGCCAGGATAGTCTCGATCTCCTGACCTCGTGATCCGCCCGTCTCGGCCTCCCAAAGTGCTGGGATTACAGGCTTGAGCCACCGCGCCCGGCACTAATATTATTTTTTTAAAAGATTAAATGATAGGCCAGGTGCAGTAGCTCACGCCTGTAATCCCAGGACCTTGGGAGGTCAAGGCGAGCGGATCACAAGGTCAGGAGTTCAAGAACAGCCTGACCGACATGGTGAAACCCCGTCTCTATTAAAAATACAGAAATTAGCCAGGCGTGGTGGTGTGCACCTGTAGTCCCAGCTACTTGGGAGGCTGATGCAGAAGAATCGCTTCAACCCAGGAGGCAGAGGTTGCAGTGAACCAGAATTGCACCACTGCACTCCAGCCTGGGTGACAGAGCAAGATTCCATCTCAAAAAAAGAAAAACAAGCAAACAAACAAACAAACAAAAAGATTAAATGATAAACTATGGTTCTGGGCAATTGTAGGTATAGATTTTAATATTCATATGTTTATGCTAAATAATATTGTAACTTCAATATTGTTAGCTGCAAGGTATGATTGGACATTATTATTATAATAAGATTGTTATTACAAGAAGAAAAGGATGACGTAATGGATCAACTGTGGGCTATAGCATTAGATATACTTAGATTGGAATCCCAGCACAGCACCTTTTAGACTGTGTGGTCTCGAGGAATTCACTAAAGTGTCTGAGCCTCAGTTCAGTTTCCATAGTTATAAGAAGTGAAGATAAACTGTGAAAGGCTTAACATAGCGTCTGACACATAATGAGCATTCATGCATTATATAATGTTAATGAGAGCTATTAACATTACAGAGCTGAAAGGCATCTCATGGGGTATTATTATTATTATTTATTTGCAGAAACTGTATCTGCAATCCAACCTCTCTTTAGGGCTTCATTAATATTTTAATTGATATTTTTGGCATTTGCTTTAGGGTTTTACTTGTCAGTATGAAAATGATATTAGTATTCTATTGTAGATGTCAAAAATTTAGAATGTTTCACTTAGCAGGATTCTAGATAATTTAGAGATTATAGAACTTTAATGTAATAAATGCTGATATCTTTTTATGCTAAAAGTTAATAAGTACTTAAGATGTATAAATACAGTAAGAGGAAGATTCTTCATATCTTAATTTTTATTTCTTAGCCTAAAGTAATGATCACTCAGGTTCATAAATTAAGTACTCAGAAACTTTAGAAGCTTAATGAGTATACAACATAGCACCTGGACATTGACAATTGATGCATTGTAACCTACTGTATTGTGACTTATCAAATAATAATCTCTCTTCATAAAAAGGACATCTATATGTACATAATTTCTAGCCATAAGGAAAGATTGGCATTAGAAAACCTCTATCAATAATTATTATAAATATTTAGTTAAGTGGATATCAGAAATAATAAGTCGTAAAGACTAAAAGATAATATAAAGCTGGTTGATTTTTGAGGAAAAATTGTATTAAGAATAATAATTCAAGATCATTTAAAAGTACAATTATTGCTTTTAACATTAGTTGAAATTTACTTTATTTTTGTATTTTATTATAATAATCTCCAGGCTCTGAAGATCAAGTTCTCTACATTGCTAATGACACTGATATCCTGGGTTTTATATATCCATTCAACTACAGTGGCGATCATCAACAAATTTCTCATATTGAACATAATTCAAGGATAACAGGGATGGATGTATATTCTCAAAGAGATATGATTATTTGGAGTACTCAGTTTAATCCAGGCGGAATTTTCTACAAAAGGATCCATGGCAGAGAAAAAAGGCAAGCAAACAGTGGCTTGATTGTAAGTAAATACCATTATATATTTGAAAGTCCATACCTTTCCACCAGCTGCTTTTTAAATATAATGTATCTATTGCAATATCTAATTATATTAATTAATATATTCAATTATTTTCCCAATATTTTCCTTGTATAGAAATAATGTATTTCTCTGCTCATTCATTCTCATAGCTGTACATGACTTATTTTAGTTGTACGCTTTTATGTTTTTGCTTTAATGTATTTGACTTATATATAGTATAATAATGCTAATGAATGATACCTAACATCTCCAGAACATCTGCTCCATAGTGCTTTACAATTATTACGAATATAAGCCTTTTTATCATGAGATGAGATTGGGAAACATTACATTATTTTTACATTAGAAAGTAGTGTAATGCAGGGATAATTGTTTCTCTTCTTACATTATCATAAATATACTTCTACTCTAGGGCAGGATATCAACTCAATGGTATAACCATTTCTTCTGACTCCTGATAACTATATTTCAGGAAACATCCAAAACAGAAATATTGTGCACTTGTGTATGATGGACATGTTGATAATCATGGTTTTTGAGAAAAATAAACTGGAACATGTTTCAATTTATGGTTGTAGACTATCCCTTTTTGTTGTTTCAACTTATGGTTATAGATTATCCCTTTTTGTTTTAGGGCATGTCAAGTTATTGTGTATTTGATATTTTTAAGTAACCTGGAAGGAAAATGACAGATAAATATGTATTTTTATAGGGCCTGGCCCATTCCTGTACAACCAAAAAGTCAAGTGCTGTCCCAGCAGGATGTAATTGAAGCTTTGTGTTTAACAAAAATTAGAGGTTCCTATCTAGAAGTCCTCCCTACTTTTTCTACTAGCATCTACCATAAACACTTGAACTACATGAATCCATTTGATGCAAGTCTGGAACATATTTTAATTTTATCAGCAGTAGATGGCAATATGCTGGTTTTAAAATAAGCTATTGTAGCTTTCAAATTCAGATTTAGATTAACTTAGATGAAACCTTTCAGTAAAAATCCATGTATACCAGAATTGTTCAATTCCTATTTCCTCGAACACAATAGCTACCATTAACTTTCGTTAGCTCTAAAACAGAAATCTGCCTGTTGAAAACATTGCTTCTATGGTAACATGGCATCTGTTGTTAATGAATGAATAAAGAGTACATACTGTGGAGTTATATTGGCTGAGTTTGAATCTTATTCCTGTTGCTTACTGGCCTCTTAGCTTCTTGGTACTCTATTTCAAGAGGTTCTAGTGATGATTCAGTTTACATATTAGTATATTAACTATATATTAAAATTAATTGTATATAATTACATGTAACTAATAAATAATATACATTAATTATATGTATTTTATATACTAATGTTTAACGTCTAGGTACATAGGAAGTACTATTTAGATGCTTGCTATTAATAGTAGGATGATTCTGTTGATGATGGTGATGACATTAATAACGATGATTGGCAAAATGTTCTCTGCTTAGTATTAGCACATTAAACATTATTTGCAAATTACATATCTGCATTTTATAATTGGTAAAGATAGACACATCTTTAATTTTGGCATAATTTTTCAAGAAAAGTCTTTGTTTTTATTTAGCTTTGTGCTTTGGGGAAATTGATTGTCCTTTAGTTCAGGGGTCTCCAACCCCCATGCCATAGACCAGTATCAGTCTGTGGCCATTAGGAACCTGTTTGCACAACAGGAGGTGAGCAGCTAGTGAGGGAGCATTACCATCTGAGCTCTGCACACTGTCAGAGCAGTGGTGGCATTGCATTTTCACAGGAGCGCAAACCCTATTGTGAACTGTGTATGGGAGGAATCTGTGAACTGTGGATGCAAGGGATCTAGATTGCTGAGTTCCTTGTGAGAATCTAATCCCCCACCCACCCCATTCGTAGAAAAGTTGTCTTCCATGAACCTGGCCCCTGGTGCCAGAAAGATTGGGGACCGCTGATCTAGTGAACAGAATTCACAAAATTTATTGTAGATTTTAAGCCAAATTCACTCAATGTTTGGTAACTAAGTTTTCATTCTTATACACAGAAATGTATTTATGTATTTTACTTGAATATTTATTTATATGTATATATTTTTACATATTTTATCTTTATTAATGTGTTATATAATTTTTCATATTCAATGGCAAAGCTTGATTAGACTTATTTGAATAGAATATAAAACTTTATTTACTCTTTTAATGATAGTAATAACTTGTGTTATATCATCCAGACTTCCTGTGTTTTGCTTTTGTTTTCACCTCTCTATTTAAATCTCTCATGACTAATAGCATTCACAAAGAGGAAAAATGGATAACAGTAGGAGTGCATTTTCTACTAAGGAGTCCATCATAACTAACTAAATGCCATAATTATATGTTTGGAACCTCTGAGCCATGAGTTTTAGCACTATAAGCCAAATTTCCTAGCTATTCTAGCCAATACATTATTTTTAAAAATACTTTAGAGCTGCACTGATAAAAGCAACTATTTAACTTTGCTTCCTAAATCTTATTGTATTCCTGATATTTCAATATTATAAAGACAGACTAAATCTATTATTACCACCTTAGTGAGTAATATGAATTGTAAAGCAATTAACTTGAAAGATATATCACATATCTGAGTCTCAGCTTACTCATCTGAAAACAACTATAATATTGAAGTACACAATTTCTACAATTCCTTTGAGATAATAAATATATTTGATTTCCAAAAGATGTATGGCATATCATATATCTATCCAATTATTATCTGGACAATTTGTGTTTATTCCTCTGAAATCTGTCTTATGTATTAATAATTGATTTTCTATCTTATGAATTACTCTGCCATGTAAACATTGGTTCTTCTAACAGTAACACGCTAGTCATCCCTTAGTTTAAGGAGCATGCAATCTAATTCATCTTGTAAGTTTTGACACAAATATTAAATAATACTGATTGAGACTTCCCCACCCCTTGAAAAATAAAACTCAAGATTTTTTCCCTAGACTAATCATGGCACATTGATTTCTATCTCTGAATCAATAGACAAGGGAGAGAAAAATCCACAAATCAAGCTATGAATACATTAGTTGTAACTCCATTATCAGTGAACCAAATGGAAGCAGTTAGCCATGTGGTAGCAGGATGTTTTAAAAACATACTTGCAGATACTAAAAATGTTGGAATAGTTCAATTTCCATAAAGAGTATAAAATCTGTTGCATCAAAAACCAGAAGAATATTATTCAGACAACTAAATGTTAAATGAAGTCCATTCCAAAAAAAAATGGTTATTTTTCCATATGATCCTGTTTCATTATTATTAGTATTATTATTATTTTGGAAATTGTGAAGGAAATACTCTTCTGTAATCTATGAAAATGGTTAGAATACTAATAATTATTATAAATTTAAATTTCAAATTCAGACCAATTTGTTTATAATTAGAAATACTTATGATTTTCTAATCTTCTGGGCTATACAAAAGGAATGGATTTTTTTCCTTTAAGAAAATAAATAATTTAAAACTTAAAAGAGTGACATGATTTAATCTGTACATAAGGCATAATGAGACTTCCGAATTTTAATTTTAGTACCCAGAACAGAATATAACAGCATTATGCAACAATTGTACATGCTCTTGGGCAATTTATCATTTTTAGTATGAGATTCTATACGAAAAAGTATATGAGGGGAAACACTATAAAGTAGGTTAATGTTGGGAAAAATGCAAATAACTCTAAAAGTACAGATTAAATTTTTACCACTAAAAATCTAAATATTCCTAAGCAAAACAAATACTCAGATTTATCTGATCTACTTGACTTTGAAAAGTAAATATGAAATGTCATTTTGTGGTATGTTCTCATTTTTGTAAATAGAATGTTCAAGATAAACATGCTTATTATTTTACTGATTAATAATTATATCTTTTTCTCAAAAAGTTGATTACGTCTTTTTGTTTTCCCAAAACACTTTTAGCAACATATCTATTTAAGTTATTCCTAACAGGTCTCAATTTTTAATTGAGGTATAAACCTCATACCCAATATATGAGTCTCTGTGTATCACAAGCACACACACACACACGCACACACACACACAAAAGTGCATAGGTGTGCATATGCACTCACAAATAAGTGTGTGTGTGTGTACAAAACCACTTAAAAGTCTTGTTTCAGAACATTTGGGTACTGCTAAAAATTGATAGTCATCTGAGTTCATTCAAATCAGAGTTACAATCATTTATTATGATTACGTGGAAAAAATCTAAAGCTATCAGTTCATTACATCATTACAATTTGTGGTTTTATTGTTGTTAATTGCACAAGACAGGCACTCAATAATACATATTGACTCTGGTAAATGATAATGTAACAGTTATGATCTAGTCAAAATTTTACTAAACAAGTCAAAGAGGTATAAATTTGACACTTTGCTATCATGGATTTTTAGTTCCTTAATTAAACAATATTTACTCATTAAAAATATACCAGTGATAATTATTATATGAGTCTACAATAAATAATGCTGAGGAAATTATTAATAAAAAGCATAGCATTTTAGGGGAAACCAGTCAAAATTTATTCATTCATACCCAAAGGCTTATTTAAAGCCTACTTGTTAGTTTTGGTGTTGGGTTTTTGGAATACAATAATAATAATAGAACTGGAATCTTGCTTTCATGGAGCTTATTTTCTAGGGAAGAAAGAGAAAGTTAATTAAACTCATAAGTAGATCAATACAGAAAATTCCAATTTTTAAAAATGTATTAAAGGAATTAAATAATGAACTAAGAAAGAAAAATTCAGATAATGCAATTCCCAAGATAAGATGAGTAAAGGCCAATTTGAAGAGAGAAGATTTGAGTTGTGATGAGAAAGAAGTAATACTATTTTACATATATACATGTATATGAGTTATGAGAGGACATGAATCATAAATATATATATTTATGTATATATGCTATATGCATAACATTAAATTATGTTATATGTATTATGTATA